AACATAGTTCAAGCTGAACTTTTAAATGTATAATAATTTGGGTATTGTTGTATTAGGTACGTAACAGCGCGGTAATATGCTGCGTGAACTAGCGCCTGGCGACCTTGTCCACTGGTGCATTACCTCATACCAGCACTAAAAAGAATCAGGTACTAACAAAACTAAGTAGGTAGTGAAGTTCATGTATCTATTTACTGTAGAAACTGATTTTGTATGTATGCCATTGCCAGAAAACTAAACCAGCAACTGTCTACCTACTACAATTCACCAAGGAAAGGCCAACATAGTTCCATGTGGAAGCTCATAGCTCACACACATAGCACATAGCTCGATTTGGTGTTTAATGCATCTTATCGCCGGCAGAAATGCTTCCACTTTTTCGTCAGGTTTGCGTCCGTAGGAAACGAAAAAACTTTTATCGCACGCTTTCCTTTTGTTTTCACTATTACACTTTGCCACTGCACATTTCATTTTGCTTTGTATTGTCTCAATAATTGTTTAAAAGCACGCAGAAATATTAACGCACAAATTTTAAATTGCTATTTGGTTTTTTCGTATGCTCACAATCAACAATTGCACAAAGATGACGTCACGCACACAGGTAATTCTGTCAAAATCACAAAGAGCGGATTAGCGGTACCGCGATAGGCGCAATCTCTATTTCTCTCAATCGTGGCATAGAACGAGCACATGCTCAAAGGGGTAACCATCGCGTGTACGNTTCGTATGCTCACAATCAACAATTGCACAAAGATGACGTCACGCACACAGGTAATTCTGTCAAAATCACAAAGAGCGGATTAGCGGTACCGCGATAGGCGCAATCTCTATTTCTCTCAATCGTGGCATAGAACGAGCACATGCTCAAAGGGGTAACCATCGCGTGTACGCAAGGTTTATATATAAAAGGTTGCGCAATGCGCAGGTCCGTTATTCTTTTCTCGCAAAATTGGGCGAAAACAACAAGCTGCGAAAACAACAAGCAGCGTAAAAAGACATAAAATTGAAGTGAAGGGAAGCGATCTCAATCCAATTGTAATGGATAGCTTATTCAAAAATACATTTACAGCTAAATTTAACAAAATTTTTATTCGGAAAATTTTTTTTGCGGAAAATTTTTGTTTAAACTCGCTATATGTATCTCAAACGTTTTTGTATCGATTTATTTGCAATTTTTACACAATAAACTAGATACTATTCTAAAGAAGATAAGTCTAACTGTACTTCTTAATACTTATTTAAAACAAAATGGCGGATATTTTAACATTTTTATAAAAATTAAGGAGGTGGGTTTTACAAATGCAAAAGTTGTGTTATGAAGTTTAAAATTTTTATTTTGTTTTAATGCAGCATTAAAGACAAATATATTCGACAATTTTTGGGAAAGTTTCAGGTTTAGACAACAAGTAGTTCTAAAGTTATATTAATATTATTGTGACACCCTCAAGCGGGTGCTCTCCTCTAGATGACAAATATTTTTACTGGGCTCTTGTACAAGTAATTTTGGAAGTAATATTAAGTGAAATGTTGAAATGCATGAATTTATCGGTGTTACATAACTTATTAATAAACTTAATAGACATACTTACATACATACATACATAGATACATACATACATACATAGTAAATATGCATGTAACTACATACATAGTCAAAATAGTTATTCGTATAGTGATTGTTTCACAATATTCGCAATGTTTTTAATAATGATTATTGGGTAATTTTTCACGAAAATATAGTTCATATTTTAACAAAAACCACTCACTCACGAATGTTAGAGAAAAATTGCGTTGATTTTTGAAATTTGTTTCTCAATGGTGTTGAACGTTTTCTTCAATGCAAAACTACATTTTGCTCATGGAAGAAAATATGTAATACCCAGAGAAAAAGCGACTTAAAGCTTGCGATTTATTAACTGAGATTGAATGAGCTACAACTCTGCATACTAAATTTTTTCTAAAAACTGTCATTCAAAATTTTGATGAAAATTTGTAAAATTTTTTTTAAGTTTTGCAAAAAAGTTTGAAAATTTCATTTATATAGTTTTTGTTAAAATATGAACAGTATTTTCCTGAAAAATTAAAAACATTGCGAATATTGTAAAACAATCGCTGTACGAATAATTATTTTGACTATGTGTGTAATTACAGTTGTCCACAAAATAATAGGAGTGCGATATTTTGACCAGTTTTG